GCGACGCGCGAGGCTGCGGAGAAGGCCGCGAAGGAGGCGCCTTCTGTTTCTGCGCCGGCCTGCCGGGGTCGGCGAGCGCACCCGGTGACCCCGCCAGGGGCGGGCGAGGTGGCCTTCAGAGTCAGGAGTCGTGAGGAGCAGCGGCGGGCCTCTTCGCCCACTTTCGGGCCCCGAGCCCGAGGCCTCGGAGAGGGCCGCCCCTCGCCGGCAGGCCAGGACGGCGGGAGCACCAGGGACCGGGCCCAGACTTCCTTGCGTCGCGAAGTTTTCGGTAGGAGGCCACATGCGAAGCCCACCCCACCACCCCACGATTCCAAGGGTGGAGGTGGGGTAGGGTTCGCATGTGGCCTCCTATTCGAGCCATTTTTGGCTTCAAAGGCGCCTTACTGGGCCCTGGAACCATCATAACATTTCCCAGGACGAAGCGCTGGCTCTTTGAGAAGGGGTCAGGGCGTTCTGGGGCCCACGATGTGGAGCCATCATGGCGTCGGAGGTTTGGGGGGTGACGATTGGCACGATTGGCCGATCGGAAAATCACGGTGCGGCCAGTTTTCGATAATTTTTTGGCCAAGGCCAGTTTCGGGCTCCAGGGCCTTCACAACACGACGGTCACGCTCTGGGGAGGGGGTCGAGAGATCTTGGGGCCCATGCCCCGAACAAAATCGGGGCGCCGCGAAGAATTAGCGACGTTCGTTCGGTCGCTCCCGCGTCGTTTCGGGTCCACGGGGTCCCCGCGGATCGATTCGCAGATGACCCGCGAGGGCGCGAAGACGATCTCGCTTCGCGCTTCGCGGTCGTTGTCGGAGAGCGGACCTTTTGCATGGGGGCGTCGCGAGGGCGCGAGCAGAACTGCGCGGCGCGCCTCGCGGCTTCGCGTCGCGCGAAGTTCGGCCTCGGGAAGTGCAGCGGGGGGGCGCGGGCGGGAGCAACAGTCGTGGGCGCCCCACAGGGGGGGATCCTCCCAGGGAGGGGGGGGGTCCGGGAATGTCGACCCCGACGTGCCTCCTCGCTGCCGATCGGGGCCTCGGTGCCGCAGGCTGCTCGGGAGATCGAGTCGCTCGGCCCTCGGGCCTCGGGGCTCCAGGGCCTCCTGGGTGGGGTCGGGGTAGACGGGGTCGGAGGATCGCGTCACATCGCCGATGCATGGACGATGCGGCTCGATGTGGAGCCCGTGTTTCCCCACGCCGACGTCGCCGATGCATCGCCGATGCATCGGCTATGTATTGGCGGTGCGGCCTACTTGGACCCCATCTAGGAGGCCTCTTATGGATGCTTGGATGTTTTTTTTGGAGGCTGCGAGCCTCTCGGTTCGGGAGGCCGTGGGGAGTGGATGGGATGGGGGGGGGGGCATGGGTAGAGGGCGGAAGAGGGGCAGGTGGAGGATGGGAGGCATCGTGGGGGGGAGGGGAGAAGGCCCAGGCATCCGATGCCTTGATTTGTTCCATGCGGGCTCCCCGAACGAAGTGAGTCCCACTTAGAAATCGTGGGGTGGTGGGGTAGGGTTCGCATGTGGCCTCCTACAGAAATCCAGCCCCAGATACATCGTTTTTCTCAGGGTCAGGGCTAAAAAGGTACGGTGGCTAGGAGATCCGTCGTTTTGGCTCAAGACGCGTTGGTTCAGCCCGCCCCCGCCGGCACAGGCAGAGGCTTCTTTGCTTCAATCGGCCCGAAACCCCTACCGCGATGGCCCGCCTGGTGCTCGCGGCCGCCGCACTCCTGCAGGCCACCGCTGCCCCCGGGTGCGGATATGCGTTCAGCTTCTAGGACTCTGTCGGCTCCGTCAGCTGTGACATCGGATGCTGGCGGAAATAGGATGAGAAGTCAAGGTGCGGCGAATGGGACACTTGTTGCCTCTGGTTCAGGGATAGGGTCGCGGATGTACTGAACGCCCGCGATGAGAAGAAGGCCAACGAGGTCGTCGCGTCCGATTCCAACGACCCAGATGCAGTGAAGGACCTGATCTGTGAGCAGGCGCTCGGCGACCTGTACAAGGAGTGCCCCCACTGCAAGGGCGGCGAGGAGAAGTGCGCCCTCGACCACTGGGATCATGAAACCAAGGAAACCAGGCTGTACTCCGTGATGGGCGGCCTGCCGTTGGCAGGGCAGCGGTCTCTCGCGAGCGTTGCGACGATCGGCCTGGGAGGGATCGGGGGAGCCGCGGTGCTCGCAGGTGCCGCGTTGGCCTTCAGGCGCTGTGGCGCCCCCTCCGTGCCAGTGGGTACCTCCGCCAGCGGGGCCGCAGGGGAGGGCCAGGGCGCCCCGATCATGGTTTGGGAGTCCCGATCGGCCCCGGCGCACACTGCCGGGGCGCGGCCGATGACCGAGCGCCGCGAGATCCTGGGCCTCGGCCCTGGTGGTGCTCAAAGCAAGCGCCGCCCGTAGCTGAGTTTTCTGGCCTGAGGCCCCAACAAGAACTTTGGGGGCACATCCGAGGGAAACGGTGCTGTGGCGCCGCCTGGAGCGCAGAACGGAGCCCAACGTTCTGGGCGCCCACGGGAGCCTGGGCATCCCCCTCGTCTTATACTTCGAGCTTGAAGTTCCGCTGGACGCGAGGAAGCTTCGTTCCATTTTTCTTTCCTTTGCTTTCTGCGTTGTAAGCTTCTATGGACGCGAGGAAGCTTCGCCCCATTTCCTTTGGGGACACGGTTCCCACGTTTTGCCCGGGTTTAGAAAATGAGGTTTGGTTAGGAGACTTGGTGTTCTTCCAATTCAAAAATCCAGTTCCCAGGACCACCTTGTCATATTGAGTAGTTTTTTTTCACAGGGGGGGGGAAAGGTCGGCTCGGACGAAAGTCAAGGGAGGAAAAACCACCCGGGCCCGACAGTTTACTAAACAGCCCTGCCCTGTTCGATTCCTTCCTTGGGTGCGTTTACTAAGCGGCTTCGCTCGTCGGGTTGATTCTAATGGGGGCGGATTTTCTGCCCTCTAGAGAGGTGGTGGTATGGGAAGGGTGGACTACGACATCTGCTGCATATGCAGCGGGTCTCGGCCCCGCCGTTGGGCGCTCTCCGCGATGCCTCTCTCGCTTCGCGGGGCGCGCGTCCGGGCCGCGTGCGGTCCAGTCGTTGTGGGGGCTCCCGGGAGTTTTCGGGAGCCTCTCGGAGGCTTTTTGGGGGCGTGTTCTTGGGGCCTCTCGGGGGCGGCGAGCCTGTGGGGACGTGAGAAGGAGACAGCCTTCTCAGAAGGCGGCGGGACATCTCAGAAACCCTCGCGCCTTCTGAGAAGTTGCTGTTTGTTTTCGGGGAAGGCTTTGAAAACTTTTCAGAAGGCCCAGGGACTTCCGAACCTTCTGAGAAGGTCCGTCCCTTCTCACTTCCCCCCCTCGCTCGCCGACGATCTTGGCGGCCTCTTCTGGGGCGTCTTGGGGGCGGGCGGCCGGGCGCGGCCATCAGGGGCGGGACTGGTTTTGCAACCGGAGTCGTTGCTTGACGGTCCCTCGCAACGGCTCTGTAAGTCAGAACTCGCGTCCAACTGTTCCGCCGCGAGTTTTGACCCACGCGATCTGGCACGCTCCTTTGCCAAATGCTCTCCTCGCCCGACCCGACACTCGGGGGCAGAGCGGGGGGGGGGGAGAGCGGGAGGGGGGCCCCAGACGTCGGACGCTTCCTTCCGCATGCATGGCCTAGGCTAGGCTTGCTCGCGGCCCCTGGACGCCGCGACGACCCCATTTGCCCCCCCAGGCCAGGGCTCGCTTCGATTCCTCCGACTCGATTACGGTGCCTTCGATTCCGATCCGAGTCGACTCGGGATTCGATTTGGGTTCCGATCTCTCGCTGGAGGCATACTGGCCCGCAGGCTTCCGCCGATTCGACTTTTCCCGACCCGGCTGCCGATGTCCGCCGATCCGATGCATTTCGATCGCCGATCCGACTTATCGATCCGGTTCAGGGCTCTCCTGCCAGGCTGGCTTCTTGTCCCGACCTGTCCTTCTGCGGCCCCGGGGCCGGGCCCCCAGTGGCGGGTAACAACGAAGAGCTCTCCGCCTTGATTCTTTCTCAAGGCGTTGGACGTCTGGGAGGGGGGGATCCAGGCCTCCCGGATGGGGTAATTCTTTAAATCGCATGCCCCCCCGCGGATTCGTTAATCACAAGCTGGCATTAGTTTGGGTCGGTCGCCGATGCCTCCCCGATGCGGCTCGATGTGGAGCATGACTTTATTCGCGCCGACGTCACCGATGCAACGCCGATGCGTCGGCGATGCTTCGGCGATGCATCGGCGATGCGGCGCTGTCCTCTCCTACAGTGGAAACCCATGCCAAGAAACACTCTGCTTGCCTCCAGGGTGCCATGGGTTTGTTCGGCTTCGATGGTTTTGCAGTGGCAAGCGTGTCGGCCCCACACCAAAACTCCATGGACGTCCTGGGGTCTCAGGGTTGGGTCTCTTGTAGTCGAGCTCCTACTGTCAGGCGATCGCAAACACGGATCACGGGGGCGTGGATTGGCGTCGAGCCCCGTTCCCATGGGTCATCGCGGATTCCCGCCGCCAGACGAGGCCGCGTTTTGGGGAGGGCACCCCCCCCGATCCCTGGATTTGGATCGCGAATCCATGCTTGCGCGCCCCCGATCCTGCACCCCATCTACGGTAGGTTAGTGTCGTGTCGACCAGCGGCGACCCCAGCGCGGGCGTTCAAGGTTGAACGCCGCCGGCGACCCAGAATCGATCGATGTTGAACGATCGGACGTTGCGGCAGCGGCCGATCGTTCAAGGTTGAACGATCCCTGCGGTGTCAAAAACCAACGCTGGGGTCGGCACGACACGAACTTGCCGTACTCGGACCCCATGTGGGAGGCCTCTGGGCGCGGTGCGGCCTTCGGGAGGGCCCCGCCTGGGACGCCCCCGGCCTCGCCCCCTCGCCGGCCCCGCCCCCCACGGGCGCCCCCCCCCCGCCGCCGGCCGGCGGGCGCGGAGAGAGCGAGCGCGGGGGGCCACCCGCCCAGAGGCCGAGGCGGCCAGGGAGGCCGCCAAGGACCTGATGAGCGAGGCCGGCGCGGAGGGCAAGCACGAGAGCGACATCGTTCCGCGGCGGCCTGGGCCCGGAGACCTCTCGGCGGCTCGGTTTTGCCCCGCCCACGCGTTGTGCTTCGCCCGGTTTCGGGGCCCGCGGCCCTCACGGATCGAACCGTCTCGGAGAACGGCGCGGACAGGTTGGGCCTGGCCGTGATTTTTCACGATGTGGCCCTTCCGTTCGGGCGACGAAGTCTATACACGTCCACTGCTCCCTGGCCAGGCCCATGCTGAACCCAGGAGCTGTGTATACGCCCTCCTGGCCAAGCCAGGAGGGCGTGGCGTATAACACCGCTGCTGGGTTCAGGATGGGCCTGGCCAGGGAGCAGTGGATGTGTATAGAGGTCGTCGCCCTGTTTTCTCGCGCCGACGGATTTCAGGGGACCCTGGGGGGCGGGGGGTCGGCCTTCTCTGGCGGCCAGGCGGCCCTGGTATTCGTCTCATCGGCCGGAGGTGACGACATGGGCGAAGCAGCCCAGGAGCGGGCAGTGCACGCATCCGCCCAGTAGCCTCGCCGATCACATGGGCGATCGGAGCGCCGAGCCGTCGAAACAGGGCTGTGTTGGTCCCGCCGCTCGCAGGGCTTTTCAGGGACAGGGCCCAATGGCAATTGCCAGCAGAGGGCACCGCGACACCTCCACCCCTGGCCAGGCATCGTGGTGATGGCGTACGTGTAAATCGAAGACGCCTACGGCGAATCACCGCCGCCCCCTGCCCTTGTGGAAACGCCTATGTGGCTGACAGCTGGGCTAGAGCCTGGCCAAGCTAGCGGGCCAGTTGTTCCCCGAGTCGGTTTGGAGAGCCTTCGGGGAACGCGTGGGGGAGCAAGAGGTTTGAAAGCGCTCATGTGTCCGAGGGTTGTGGCAAGAGCTCTGCCAAGCTGTCGGACCATGTGCTCCCCCAACCGTTGTGGAAATCCTTCGGGGAACACTTCTGGGAAGATGGCGGGGAAAATCAGGAGGAGGAGGAGAAGGAAGGAGGAGGAGGAGGAGGAGAAGGAGGAGGAACAAAAGGAGGAAGAGATGAGGAGGAGGAGTCTTGGGCGTCTTGGAGGCCTCTTGGGCCGTCTTGGGGGCCTCTTAGGGCCGTCTTGGGCCTCTTAGGCGATCTTTGGGGGCACTTGGGCCGTCGCGGGCCGTCGGAAGGCAGAACCAAAAGCAAATGCCACAATCCTTCAAAAACTCAAGGGAAATCAATGATTTTGGCCTTTTCGGGCCATCCCGCCAACATGCCTGGGTTCTGGGTCAGGGCCCTCTTGGATGCCTGTGGTGATCTCTGCGGAGGCCTCTCGGAAGCCTCTTGGAGGCGGATTGGGGCGTTTGGGTGGGCCTTTGGTGGGCTTCTCGGGGGGGGGGGGGGCTCTCGGGGCCTGACTTGGGCTTCTTGGGAGATTCTTGGGGGCCTCTTGGGGCTTCTGGGGGCCTCTTGGGCGTTGGGGGCCTTTTTACGGGCCTTGAGGTAATCTTTCTGTATGGGGCCTTTTCTCGCGGTGCGTTTTCTGAAATCCTCTTGGACCGTCTCGGGAGCCCCTCGGGCCTTCCATGGGGTTCTTTGGGGCCGTCGTGTTATTCTTGGAGTCGGCTTGGGGCTCCGAACTCCGAAATGCGAGAATGCCAAAACACACAAAGAGACGGTTTTGGGTGATTTCTCTGGGGCCCCCCAAGGCAGTCCGAAGAAACCTCCCAAGATGGCCCTGATACGATTCCCAGGGTTCGTCTTGGTAAATGATGTTGAAGTGTTGATTCCCAGCCACAGTTCGGCGGCTTCAGGAAGCCTCATGCGACGAGCCCCGAGAACGTCTTTCAGGCGCCCAGTCCGCTCCTTGAATCTGGCGGGGCGCGCACGGGGTTGGCGCGAGGGAGGCGTCCTCCTCTGAAGGTGGGGGTCTTTTAAAAGGCATGGTCCTTTGTAGAAGGGCCTGGAGGGTCCCAATAAGCCTTCTAAGCAACCGGGGGCCTTTCTAAGAAGACACCTTCTATGACCCCCCGCTTTCTTAGAATGTCGCCCCCGTCGCGCTATCCCAGTTTGCGCGCCGTCAAGAATATCAAATTCTTAGGACATCCCCCTCTTCCTCCTCTCTTCCCCCTTGCTCTCCCGCCCCCCCACTCGTTCCTTCGCGCTCGCGCGCGCGGGGCTTTCGCTGGGGCCTGAAACGAAGGTTAGCGGCGAACGGTGTCAAATATCCGGTGAGCTGGTCCAGCTGGTGCCTCAGCTCTTGGCGAACGGAGCCGCCCTTTCCTGGGGCTCGCCCCCCGCTAGCCAGGGGAGGAGAAGGAGGAGGAGGAGGAGGAGGAAGAGGAGGAAGAGGAGGAGGAGGAGGAGGAGGAGGAGGGGGAGGGAGGACAAGGAGGAGGATGATGCGGAGGAGGAAGAGGGCCAGTGTAAACCACAGACTCATCAACGATGTAGCAATAATCCTGCCCTTCAAGTCCAGCCCCCTCTTCATAGGTCCTATACAAGGGTTCGGGTTCATGTTCACTGAGGCGAGAACCCCGTTGGAAGACAACTGACTGAAAATCCTAAACTGTACCAGAGCATCATTCCTGGGACTTCAACGTCGCGAATCACCGTTCCTGTTGCGTCTTGACGCCTGAATCGTGCCTTTCCACTGGTGCTGGGACTTCAACACCGCGAATAAACGTAACCGTTATGCCCTGACAGTCCGACATCGTTCCAAAACACCCGTTCTGGGACGTCAACGATGAGAATCCTTGAAACTGCTGAGACCATTCGTGAAACTCCAGCATGTTTTGGATACGAAGGTGCGCGGCGCTGAGGCGAGAGCCACATTAAAAAGAGATCCGCCCTCTGTTTTTGAAATTTTTGCACCTTGTAAAACGAACGTGCGCTGCGCTAAGGCGAGAGCCACATTTCGAAAACGGGCCGCCCTCCATCCGTGAAAGTCTTGTACATTTTCGGCCTAAGTATCATTGATGGTGTGGAAGTCTCAGGCGAAACGCCCTGTCTGCCCTACCGATACGCCTCGGGGTGCGACAGGGTGGGGTTATTTGTAAGGACAAGGGACTGAGGAGGAGGAGGAGGAGGAGGGCAGGTATTCCGAGGTGGAGGAAGAGGAGAATGAGGTGGAGGAGGAGGAGGTTTGCACGGCTGGGGGGAGTATCTTCCTGTGCCTCCCCACTCCTAGTGTATGTAGGCCACCCTCGACTCCCAGACTCCCCCTTGGGCAATTCGTAATTGGCATCTGTGAGGCAGTCTCATCCCTGCGGGCCACGACGGATGCTTGATAGAAACGCGATCCATTTTGGGCTTCGGAACCTCTGTCAGCAGCGCTGTGGCGCCAAACACAAGCTGGCGTCTTTCGATCATTCCTCTTTGCTGCTGCAGCGCTGCGGCAGGTTAGCGACTACAACGCGGCGAAGGCCCGCTACGACGAAGCGAAGTCCGCAGAGGACCACGGGTGGGTTGCTCAGGCAGGGCCTCCATTCCTGGGCCCTCCTCCCGTCGACGTCGAGGAGGGGAGGGGGGCAGGAGGAGGGGGAGGAGGGGCAGGAGTGAGAAGAAGAGGAGGGGAAGGGGGGGGGGGCAGGAGGAGGGGGAGGAGAGGGAGGAGGAGCAGGAGGAGGAGGCCTCGAGAGTTTTTGTAGCAGTCGTCCTCCGTCGTCTCGCCGTGTTGCCGCCGCTCTTTCTTCCACGAGTGCCTCTTGCTGGCTGCTACCTAAGAGAACGCGTTTCGTGGACGCTCGCTTGGAACAAATCCTTGGACACGTCGGAACCGGTTGAAGCGCCCGGAGAATCGGCCCCCCCCCCTCCCAGATACCGGCCTATCGAACCGGGCCTTCCCCCCCCTTCCAAAAGGGGTCGGGGGGTTCGAACTGGGCCCTCCCCCCCTCGCCTCCTGTCCAAAGGGGGGGGTCGACCTGGCCCCTCCCCCCCTCTCCCCTCAGTGAATCCTAATCTGGTCATGCTCACACAGAATTTCATTTTAGCTGGAGCTAACTTGAATAGCATCCTAGTCGGGCTCCGTCCAACTCTGATACAGTCCTACTATGACTGGATCTAGCTCGAATTGAATCTTATCAGGGCTCGATCCAACTCTTACAGAATTCTAGATCCAACATACAAAGCAAGCTAGTTGGGCTCGATCCAGCTCACATAGAATCCTACTATGGCTGGATCCAGCTCGAATTGAATTTTATTGAGGCTTGATCCATCTCACATAGAACCCTGCTATAGCTAGATCCAGCCCTAGTATCCTACTAAGGCTCGATTTTCGTCGTCGTCGTTGCCAGACGGCGCCGGCGCCAGCGCTGGCGCCGGCGCCCGCCGTCGTCGATTGCCCTTGGGGCGGGAGGAGGCGGGGGGGGCCAGTTCGAACCCCCCCCTGCAATTCATTTGGGTGGGGGCCAGCCGGCCCGGTTCGAATCCCCGCCCTCTCCCTTGAGGGGGGCTTCCACCCTGGTTCGGGACCCCCCCTGCATTTCAGGGGGCGGCGGCCCTCTCCCCCCCCCCCCCCCCTGTTTCGACCCCCCCGCCCCTTCCCAGCGTCCAGAGAACGCGCTCTTTGCTTACCGAGGAGTCCCTCCCCCACACAGAGACTTCTTCTCCTCCCTATACTCGCGTAACGGCCAGGGGCGGGGGCAGCGAAGGCGCTATAGCTGTGACCAGCGGGCCAGCCTGCAGCTTGCGCATCGCAGCAGGAGGAGGAGGAGAACGGAGGAGGAGGATGAGGAGGAGGAGCAGGAGGAGGAGGAGGAGGAGCAGGAGGAGGAGGAGGAGGAGGAGGAGGAGGAGGAGGAGGAGGAGGCGAGGAGGCGGAGGAGGAGAAGGAGGAGGAGGAGGAGGAGGAGGAGGAGGAGGAGGAGGAGGAGGAGGAGGAGGAGGAGGAGGAGGGGAGGAGGTGGAGGAGGAGGAGGAGGAGGAGGGGGGGAGGGCAAGAGGGCCGCGTGCTGGTCGTGGTCGGGGTTCAAGAGACGGGGGTCAATACAGACGGGGGTCAGCCAGAGCGCTGGATTTTGTAGGATCCTGCAGGGCCAGGGGGCGCACTGACCCGGGTTTGGGTGCAGGATCCTGCAGGATTTGAACCGGATCTTGCAGAGCCTGACTGACCCGGGTCTGGATTGACCCGGGTCAGCATATCCCCGACGTGGGCCCACCGCGAATGTTGCGCTTCCGCGCTTCGGCCGATTTTGATTCGATCGAGGAAGGTCCCAGCGCGGCCTACCTGTGCCCCATGCGAGGGCGTCGACTGCCGGGCCCCTCGCTGTCAGCGGTGTAGACCCCGAGCGGCCCACTATGCACGCGATTCCCCTTCCCCCCCCAGGGGACCCCCTAGCCAGAGGGATGGGCTGTGGGTGTTTCGCAGAGGCCTGTGACTATGCGCGTTGTTAGACTCATGCTTTGCCTGAGGGGCTCCCGTGCATTTTGTGCGACGGGAACCCCCAAGCCAGCTTCCCTGGGTAGCTCAGCTCCTGTGTTCTTTGATCATATCATTCCGAGGCTTGAGCATGCAAGCAGCACCTGTCGCTCCAGTGTTTGTCCTTCTCTTCTTCCTTTCTCCTTCTGATTGTGTTTGCGCGAGCTGCTTTCAGTAAAGCCTCGCCGACGCTTGGTGTCCAAATGGTGTACAGCTTTGCTGCGAGGGAGAAAAACAAAAACACGGAGGCTTGAGATCATCCATATTCATCGCCTGGGAAACTAATCCCCCTGGACCTTGGCAGGGGGTGGATACGGAAACATTCGCCCACCCTGGGGCCAACACATCTGTATCCGCCGCTCCCTGGGGTCCTGGGGTGTCGGTTCCCAGGCTTTGGATATGGATAAATCTACGCCTCGCAATCATGGCGTTCACAGACTTGCGCACTTTATAAATGCATTGCATGATATGGCATAGCGCAGCATGTGATACGATATCTTACCACCTCGCGAGAGAATGCCGCTGCTAGGCACACCGTAAATGTGCCAGCTCTTTCTCACCTGGGCTCAAACGTCTGCGATATGCGTCAGCTTCGTTTCCCTGGACCCAGAAGCCACGTCATGTGACACCTCTGTCCCCTGCGCCGGAGAGGCCGTCACGTGCGACAGCTCGTCTTCCCAAGCCTAGAATGCCCAAGCACGTGTCAGCTCACATCCGCTCACATCCTCTGGGCCCAGAAGGCCGTAATCTGTGGCGGCTCTCTTTCCCTAGGCCCCTAGGCCCAGGAATGCGACCTCTCTCTTCGCTTGGACACAGGATGGCGTGACATGTGACAGCTCAAAAGATCATAGTGCTGTTAACTGGGCTTTGGCGGAGCCCATGTCTTTGAGGAGAGGGCGATGGGTGAATGGGTGGATAATTGAAGCTTTCCGGACCGAGTTCGGAAGCATCCGAGAAATGGCGACGGATGCCAAGCCCGTAACGCTGCTATTCATCCGTTGGCGTAGTGTCATGAGCGTGTATCAGACAATGTTCAGGACGAGCTACATTGATCTAGGCCGCTGACGCTTTCCTCTTTCGTCCCCTCTCGTTTCCTCCTTCCTTCCCGTCCTCTCCATTTGCCCTTGTGGCTGCTCGATGGGGTCGGTGCAGGACGATCTGAAGAAGAAGGAGATCGATGCCAGGGAGAAGCTGCACACACTGCGCGACAAGGTGCCCCCGTGCTCCCCCACTTCGCCTCCACCTCCTCGCCGCCACCTCCCGCGTCCACCAGCTCAGAACTCAGCACCCCGACCTCGGCAAATAGGGACAACATGCATTGAGGGCACCGGCCTCCCCGCGCAGGCCCCAAAGGGCCCCGACCCCAGCGGAACCGCGTGCTCGCCTCGCTTTGCCTCCTCGCCGTCACCGTGGAACGCGGGTGCGGCAGCGCGGAGTTCGCACGGCCCGAGCTGGCTTCCAGATCGGGGACCTCGGGGGTGGGGGCCTTGAGACGGCTGCTCCTTCCTCGTCTTTTCTCCTCCTGCTCTCCTCCGGCATCGGGTGCAGCCCATGGGAGCTGGGCAGTTGCGCAAGCGTGTCAAGGTCAAATGAGCGTACACAGTCGCGAGAAGAATGACGATGGCGATGAGTATGATAGAAGGCGCTGGTGATGGTCGTGGTGGTGGAGATGATGATGATGATGATAATGATGAGGAGGAGGAGGAGGAGGCGGATGAGGATAAGGATGAGGATGAAGAGGAGAGGATAAAAAAGGAGGATGAGTAGGATGAGGATGATGAGGATGAGGATGATGATGATGATGATGATGATGATGATGATGATGATGATGATTATGATGAAATTGATGATGATTACGAGGACGATGACGATGATGAGGCTCAAGATGAGGATGAGGATAATACAGCTGTTCCTGATGTTGATGACGATGATGATGGTGATGATGTTGATGATGAGGATGATGAGGATGATGATGATGATGATGATGATGATGATGATGATGATGATGATGATGGTGGTGATGATGATGATGATGATGATTATGATGATGATGAGGATGATGGTGGTGGTAGTGATGATGCTGCTGCCGATGATGGTGATGGTGATGATGATGATGATGAT